AAGACTAATCTCTGAAAAATGTATAGAATTATAGGTTTTTGAGGTCACTGAAATCAAATCTTTTATCAGATCCTTAAAAAATTGAAATCCAAGATGGCGAGCACAATATGGCGGCTTAAAAAGCAAATTAATTCTTGATTTTTACTATAATTCGCATTCTATCCTGAAAAATCTATAAATAAGGGTTTCTGAAGTGACGGAATATAAATCCAACCATTGAATTTATAAAAAATTGAAATACAATTTACAAAAAAATGTTAAAATAAAATTTGTAAAACAAACCGAATGCATATTCGTAACCAGCGACCTCAAATACACAAATATAACTTAAAAAATGAGTATATTTTTAGGCGCTTTTTTTCATAAATGAATTTAACTTAAAAAAAAAAGCATTTTTTTCGAATTAAAAGGTTTACAGCAAAAAAATACAAACAAAATGGAAAAATCAGTACATAGAAGTCAAAACTAAGTATTAATATAGTGAATAATGAAAAAAGAATCATTAATTTTGGTGAAATCTTCGAAATAGTCTAAAAAAGAAGAGCCAAAAGGTTTAACATATATGTTACGCTGTGACTCAAAGGATTGATAGATTATCAAAGAATTACACGTTTCAAAGAAAAATTCAAGTGATATCGTTTTCTTTACCGCGTCGTCGTCGTCGTCATCCGTTTCGTCGGAGTCTTCCGCAAGGGAACTTTGCTGAGGACTTTTTCTATACATGGTTATGCGTTTATACAGACAATAACCGAAGATAGTAGCGGCCATAAACGCCACTTTCGGATCTATAGCCTGTGCTATGATTGTCTCGACGATGTTGTCCATGATTTTCAATAATGTATGATAAGATAAAGCCTGCAAATGTACATACATGCGAGTTGAAAAAATATGCCGTCACAGTTCTAAGTAATTTATAAATGCATATAAAAGAAAATACACGTGTGTATTACAAAATAAGATAACCTATAACGTTAGATTTTCATTATTTCATAGAAAATCTTTCATATCGTTCATTTATCAATATATGATATTAGATATATACACACGTTTAAAATTTAAATGCGTTAATTTAAATGAAACGTGTAACATCACTCATTAAAACAAGGCGTTGTCAATTATAATCTTGATGACGACGTTTCTCATGGCATCATGCCGATCCATGTTGATACAGCAGATCCAGCTGATCATAGGCTACGTTCGGAAATATCACCCGAATGCCCCCATGTACCAATAGCTGCGTTCAGCAGACTCAACAGTTTTGCAACCGTTTTTGGTCCTATCTCAGCAGACAATCATAAAACGGTTGCAAAACTGTTGAGTCTGCTGAACGCAGCCAATGCTTTCGTTCATACTAATACGGCAAGTTAGTATGAACGAAAGCATTGAAATCCTATGGTTGAACTTTACCGGCACCGGCATAAATTAACGATTACGACCATTATAAATCAGGCTTAAAACGATATACGAGGGCATTCGGGTGATATTTTCGAACACAGCTACGTCAGAAAGTGCATATTGGGACACATTTGATTGGTTATTTCCAGTATTGCTACCGCCATTATGCGCAATGTTTCACCTTATTAATTCCACCATGCAGCTGATCATGCGCGATTGTTGCAAGTTCAGAAATTAAAGAATAAAAAAGAAAAAAATATACGCCAAGTGCGTAAAAACGGTATCGAATATTACATTCCTTTTAATAAAAAACGGGTACAAAATAAGTACGGTCGACTGGATTATAGTGAAGAAAAAACTTGGCGTGCCCAGGTAGCATTAATTGTACTTCCGTGAATATATTATTTTAATACAGTAGTATTTACATTATAAATTAAATATGACATAGTTTGTGGGTACATGAAAATATACTCACACAAATAATAGACGTGATATAAATTATGGAGGAATATATGTAATAATATTGATAATATTTAGATGCTCGGCTCGAATATACATTATTTGCTGGACAGAATATGAAATTTTTTTCTTTTAAAATTTTGTTTATTTAAAAGTTTATTTTCTTTGTTGCAAGTCTTTTTATCTACACGATAAGCAACAGTATGATCTAAAAAAATCGAGGAGTTAATTGTTGTAATAACTTGGTTTCAGTTTTTACAAATGATCGTTGTACGAATCTCAAACGCGCGGATATGCGTGACAGAAAATGAAACAGATCGAAATAAACTGCGAATTTAAATTTTCAGTGCTATTTGAAATTTGGTTAATTTGTGCGAGATTTATACAAACACAATTTCTCTCCAAATAAAAAAACAAACGCTTTGTGATTTACACTTATATATTATTACGATACATACGATGGATTGACACTCTTATTTAAGATATGGATGTTATATTTCACTATCATGTATAACATTTTCTGCAAAAGAATTGTGTACATATATTTTTAATAAAAATTAATTAACGGTAAAATTAGAACTTAACGCGCTTAACGGATCTGTAGGCTTTAAATATACAAAAATATATCGCATTGTTGTTACATATATGCACGCACTTCTTTCTGTGACAAAACAAGATGTGAAACATACATTTTATACGCTATTATATGGCTAGCAATTATGTACATAACTTAGAAACAAACGATTCAGATCATATTAATAAAATATTTTGATGTATCATAATAAAAAAATTAAGACTTGTTAATAATTGGTTACATTTAGAAGATTCATTGACAAAATAAGTTTACATATCGTTGCTTGCTAAAGCGGTCTAGAAATGTAAGGATCTAGGCAGTAAGCATCTTTAGAAATAATTGAGCTTTCTCTTTGTTGCATTAGATAAAATTATATTTAAAAAAAATTACAATTAAGATAAACTATGATTTCTTTTGTATTCATGATCCTCATATTTCCAGTTACACAATTAAAATAACGTATAATATATCGCTCCATGTATTTTCATTATTTTGATGTACTTATCTCGGAAATATAATAATTTGCACATTGGAAGCCCATTTTTTTTCAAAGAAAAATCAAGAACACGAAACGAATGTATTTACGAACATTATAAGTTTGTGCAATATATAATTTTGTAAGATATATTTTAATTATATATGCATAAATTTATAAAAAAAATAACTTCCAATACGCGGCATTGCACATAAAATGTAATAAATTCTTTTTATCAAATGTCATTCTATAAACTTCGCAATGCATTTTAAAAATATATTATTTTAAACAAAATATTTTTTATAAATTGATTAAAAAATTAAAAACAAATTTTAATTTTAAAGATTGACGCGCACCATTTTTTCTATAATTATCTTTGCAGCATATTAACAAATTCTGCATACAATCCTACAAAATTAAACATTTTTAGAACCGAACATCATCATGGAAACTTAATTAAGAAAACTATTATATATTTATCTATTACTTTCCAACAAAAAAATTCATATTATCATATTTAACTCAGTAACTTTCTAATCCTGTCGTAATATCACATTCTTCTGCGATCTTTATTGCATAATTCCAAATTAAGAAATATAAATCAATAAATTGTAAATTGTGTCGATAAGAAAATATTAATTTCTCAATTTCTTAATTTAAATTTTTATTTCTTTAACGTTAAGATACGAATAGTAAAGGAAACGTCGAAAAATTACTTTAGTATAATAGAATAATCTTCCAAGAATTATGCAATAAAGGGAGCATTAATATAACTCTTTATCATAATGCTTGCGATATGCACAACGAACTTGTATAAATTTTACGAAATTCTCTAGGAAATTCAGATAAAATTTTCATCGAATTTATATTGGAACAACAAGCTTATGATGAACAAGTGATACAATCCTTTGAACAAGTACTTATGTATAAAATATCTTATGTTTATGTCAGTGTCATTTAATATTACCTGGTCGAGTATGTTACAGAGACAATTAGTTTTTTTTCGAACCAAATTGACAAACATATCGATTAGTTCTTATGTAAAATCGAGAAAAAGAATGTACAATTAAATCGATCGACAGTGATATATACATCTTAACAATTAAGATCATTGTAAAGCCCTTCATGATCACATTAAATTATCGTAGAGGAAAAATATTTACTACAATTCATTACGCGATTTGGAAGAGAGCGTAGCTCTTTTCTATCGTTCTTTCTGTGTCAATAGTTATATGAGCAAGAAGAAATTGCGAGTACCAATGTGAGTTTGTATTCACTATTACAAGCAACGTAATGTACATAATTCTCGCAACATGGCAAAGAAAAACACGCAAATCTATACGTAAAGCTTTTTCGCGTATTCGCTCTCTTTGCGCTTTTAATGAAAAAATACACTTTACAAGTTATTATTGAAGTAAATATTTCATAATTAAACAAATCGTCTGCACCAATATGAAACAAAATGCGTTTATATAGATAAACATATTTGTACATAAACGCTACACGAGATTGGTCCAATCATAATTAAACCAATGACAGACATATATTTCTCTATACATATATTTAGCACTCCTTATTATAAATCGAATATATTCTCGCTCCATAATTAAGATATCTCGAATTTTTTTTATCAATCTTTTTTCTCTTTTCAATATTATTGTACGTAATGAAATATTCTTCATATTTAGGCAATATTTTTCATTTTACGCGTAATAAAAAGTACGAAATAACTTGAGAGAAAAAAAACATTTCGTACAAATTAATCACAAACAATTGGACGTTTCAATACTAATATCGTTAATTTCTGCATAATTTTTAAGTATCACCTTTAGGAAGCGCATTTTTGTAACTCAGGATTTAGCAATGAACAGTCGATAGCTCACAAATTTATAATATAGAAAAGACTTTCTCTAGTTATTTGGCTCATTATAATTTTTTTTAATAGATTTATATCTAAACATAGGAGTGCTTAATTCCTATAACATCCTGTAAAATTCGCTTATTCTTGCAATTTTTATATAAGAATTTTTGTAATTTGGCTTTATCTTATTTTTACGCATGTGCTCGGTTTCATGTTACCCATTAACTCTGACAATTCTAGTAAAGTGGGCCTTCGTCTGCGGATATGACTGGTTCCTCGTCGCTCCAATCGCTGATTGCTAATCCTACTGATCCGTGAAAACTCTGCGATCTCGCTACATGGCTAAAATCAAATAGAAGTAAAATGCAGTGGAATTATGAGCAAGTGAAGAAATTAATCTCTCCCATCTTGTTTATACTCTTTTTTTATCAAAAGAGAAAAGCTTTGTTAACACGTATTTACATCGCACATTATCGCTAAAGCTGACTATCTGATCAAATCAAACGCAATGTCAATATTGAACAAATAAGATATTAGATTTCTATATTTAATTAAAAAGCAATATTTTTTCTGTAGAAATAGGTACAGTTCTTTGAAAGTGTTTGCTAGAGCACAATAAACAATTAGATGGGTAATAGAAACACGAAGTGCAAAAGCAGTACATCACTAAAATAGATAAATTAATGTAAAACATAAGTACAGTAAATCTTCTATCGTTCTTAACTTGACTCTGAGTTAGTGCAACACAAAAAAAAACAAGCATTCTCGTGTTGGTAAAAGTGTTTTATATCTTTAAAAAGTGACAAACATCTATTAACAGTACCTCTTGAATCTATATAAAATGAGGAAATCTATATGTAAAATGTTCAAACAAGTTTGTACCATACCGCTTGCTTGTTTTGCCACATTATTTTTAGATTATCGATCGCTATCAGTCCTAGCAACAAAATATAACAAATAAAGTAAAATAATTATCTTCTTAATTAGTAATAATAATGTATCCTAGACCCCTAGACAATGCAAAAAACCAAGAGACTTCTGGCTTTTGCCTTGTCTGAAAAAATTCTTCGTATCATTTCTTCTTTTATGAAAAGTTGCATCAACTTTCAACTTACCTCGGTGAGAGAGCTGCATTTTTCTTTGCCAAGCCGGCTTTTCTTCGTCCTTCCATAGCAGCTTTCATGGGATCGTAGCTCTTACGACGTTTCCAATTTTGCATCTCGACTTCCCGTACATTTGACGCTGAAGGCTTTTTTGGTTCCTTCGGTTTGCTTTTAGGCCCCTACATACATTTATATGTATATATTTATATGTTACATACTAAATTTTATTATTATATATTGAAAAAAGTTACACTCTCTTACCATGTTCAGACTTCTGTTAATTCGCACATTAGGTCGTCCAGAATCTGTTCTATTGATACTGGAAAGCGACTCAGACTTGCCATGTGCATCGTGTGATAAATTTTTAGCTTTGTTCATACTGGAAGACACAGGTTTTGTTCGTTGCAGATCCAATTTTGCTTTACGCAAGCTAGAGAAAAGAAATAGTTAGATTATACAAAGATATTAAAATGCAAGAAAACAAAACTTAAATAAAACATAAACTTATACCTAAATTCTTTGTTGTATTTAGTACTGGAAATAGGAGATTGTGACATAGGATGCTGTTCATCGCTGCTCTCCGTATCGCTGGGATGGCGTAATCCTTTCGATATATTCTGATGTAGACTGTGACTCGTATCTTCGTCACTCTCATTATCGGAAACGAGTGGAGGACGATATCCCGTCATGCGAGCAGACATTGCGGATACAACATTCTGAGTTGTTTGCAGATAAGACGAAGTTTCTAAATCACTGTCGCTCTCCTAATCAATTACAGATTTTATAAAGCATTTGATATACCATTATTTGTTATAACTTAATAAGATCAGTAGCCAAATTTGTCAATAAAAATTGTTCATAGATTTCATAAAGCTTTAATGATAATTCATACACACACACACACACACACACACACACACACATAGAACATACCAATTGTGGACTACTAGGCGGAGGTACTTGATTGTCTTCGTAACAGTAATTTAATTCATTATCCGACCAATCGTTGGCTAATGAGAGAGCACCCCCTGTACCATGAAAACTAGCAGATCTCAGTACGGAATTGTCATGACTACAATATAAATTGTTCTTTTTGAAAACTGAAATACGCTTATTATTCGCGTAAACGCTTCATATATTTCTATGTACTCACTTGCCGGAACCATCCTCGGTACTGTGATGTTTCTTTGTACTATCTATTAATTTCTTTCTCCCTTCGGCTGCTGCTTTCATCGGATCGTAACTTTTCCGCCGCTTCCAATTCTGAAACTCCACCTCCTTGGACGTAAGAGTGGAATTACTTCTACCGGACTTTTTGTGATCTTTACTCGGTTTTTGATTCGTTTTTTGACTAAGAGAAGGATGCTTAAGAAAAAAAAAACAAAAAATTTATATTTAAAACATTCTACAGACAAAATAATCTCTTACACAGATACGATGCTTACATGAGTCGGCTTTGGAGCTCTCATACTAAATCTCCCAGTATCGGTTCTAGATATGGATGGTGCTCTGAATTTCGTTGTCTCCGATTTCTTTGACGATTCTTTACTGTGCGCTCCGACACTATTTGTGCGAATACGATGATAACTTTGCTGCTTATTCACAGGTACTACAGTCTTAACTTCAGATTGCGCTCTTCGACGTCTTTCTTCAGGGGTTGTATTCGGCGTTGTATCAGACTCGCAATTTAATCTGTGAATAATATATTCAACTTAATTTTCTGTAGAAATAAAAAAGAATATATCCGGAATTTTTATATATTTGATAGCATTTCGTTTAATTTCTGCATAAGATACCTTGCTCTTCTTATGCTGAAAGCTCTATTCAATTTGATTCCAGATGAGATTGGCATCAGGGGAGATTTTCTTTGTTGTTCACCAGCTTCGCTACTACTATCGGAGGCAACAACAGAAGCATATTTTCCTCTTGATGATATTCTGTCAATATCGGTATTGTTGAAACTGCTGCGACGCGACACGAGATTCTGCGATTTCATGTTCCTAATGCTTGCATTACTCGATGATCTTTGTATATTGAGATGCCGTTGAAGTTCCGGACTGTTTTGTAACATACTAGGCGCTTTAATAGGCATGTCTTTATCAAAATAACTGGTTCCTTCATGATAATTCGTAGTGCTGTTGGATTTTCTCAGCATATATGGACTATAAAAGAATTAATATGATACATTAACTGCTTTGAAATTAATTGTTGAATTGTGGCGTTTTAAAATTATACAATATATCGTTGTATATGTATTAATATGAATAAAAAAAATATGTACCTATTTTCAACGCATGTAAAATATCCTATATTTTTCGCTTGTGACGATTTTGCTAAATGTTTAGGTCTTTCTAGCATGGGAGAATTGAGAACCTTCGTTGCAGCAGCTTTACGACTAACAATTGGGCTATTAGTCAATTTTGGCGTAGGTGGTCTGAGACGGCTTAAAATGGGACTGTTTGCATGTTTAAGGTCTTCTTTATATTTCGCACTATTTTTCCTGGACGTATTAGATTCCGTTGTATCAGAAGCATATTCTTTCCTTAAAGAAAAATAAGAGATTTTCTTAAAATATAAAAGAGCTCGATAATAATCTATATTGAGTTTTGTTATTGACTCAATTAATAAAATTGTCTACATTTGCCAATAGTAAAACTATTATATACAATGTGACATACTATTATTGTTAACAAATTAATTCGTCAAAATGTAATGTGTGTGTGTGTGTG